TGCTTGATAAAATTGTACTATTGTTCAAATCACTATATATATATATATATATATATATATATTTCTTTTCAAAAGCAAATATGGGCATTTCGTGCCCGAAGACTAAAAACTAAAATAAAATGGGGAAAAATTCTCATTTAAATTGATTAATTTCTCAGGTTTCCTTTTCAAATCATGCTTAGATGATAGAGGGACACCTTCACTAACTCATTGAAAATAATTAGAATAAATAAAAATTATGAGGGCAGATGTAAGAGTCAGTTGCCCCTTCGAATAAACAATGATGAATGGAACTTATCCAGGCTCATGAAACGCGTAATCACTTCTTCCTCTTCTTCCAGTTTTTAGTCATCCATATAAAAATGCCAAGTCGACTGAAGAATTTGGAAATTCAAATCATGAGAGACATGTTCACTAATTTATGGAAATTAATTAGAATAAAAAAAAATTAAGATAGGACAGGTGTAGGAATGATTGATGCCAGTAGAATGAACAACGATGGAGGATGGTGTTGCAACCCAATTTCTTACTTCTACTGTTGTCTATATTTTTAAAAAGAAATAAAAAAAAAATTATCCTTTCAATGTGTTTTGACTAAAGGGGAAAAAGAACATGTTGATGAAGATAGGAAGGAGACGACGTCGTTTTGTTCATGGCTTTTGTAGATTTCTGGGTAAAAAGATAGAGAAAAAAATGGTGGTGTCTGATGCAACTTTAGGACTAAATTTTGGTCGTGGTTAAGTCTCTTGATGGCACAGAAATGATGAAAATGTGTTTTCTAACATATAGTCTACAATCTTGGTGCTAAAGATTAGGGTTTAACTTTCAATATCAACTACAGATTCTAAGTCAAACATACCTTCTCAGTTAGCCAGCCAAACCTTTCCATTCTGGTGCAAGATTTGATTTTCAATATTTTAATCCTCTCTCTCCAAATCAAGCAACGAGATATACTTAGTTTTCAAGAATCAATCTTTATAAAGCCAATAATCTATTTCCTTTTCAAGGAAGATTGAACTCACCTGTAAAAAGGCAGCAACAAGTCTAAACAGGGATGGCGGAGAAGAAAACTAGTGAGAAAGAAGAAACTAGTGA